AGGCAGCCTGTGTTTGGATAGCTTGTGTCTGATGAGTGTATTTGGAAGCCTCATCTGAACGCATTGACCCAGTAAAAAATATTCAGATAAGACGGAGAGACTGAAAAGATGGAATAGAGGTAACAAGAGAGAGACATATATAGAGAGGTGGATCAAAAGAGGGGATATCATAAGATTTGGAAAGGCTTGTAAAGGGATAAAGGCACTGATAGGAGAGAGGTTCAGTCAAAATAGAGAAGAATGAAAACGGCAGTAGAATAGTAAAGGAGTGGGGTATTCCAAAGATTGGAGTAGATTTTACATGAGAAGGAAAGAGAATGTAAATAATTGGAATTAGAGGTGGGAAGCTTGAGAGGGAGTGAGGGAGGAAGGATTGGAACAATGTGCTTCTGATTTTCCCCTTTATAATTATTTATATTTGCACATTACACTAAAAACGGTGTCAAATCCACCCATCTCAGTGCATTGTGTTGAAGCTAATGTTGAGAGATCTGACTGTACAATTCTGAAAAAGTAGACACAAGATGAATAAACTTAACAAATTTAATGCCCAAGTTTAAAAAATTCCAGATTTGTTATACAAGCAGAAACTTAAAATCTGTCCCTAAAAGTTTTTCAGGAGCTTTCAAATGCACCTCACTGTTTCCTAAGTGTGTTGAGTTTGCTCTGTTTGAAATAGTAGTTTGATAAAGATCTTAATTTAAGGTCCACTTACTACAAGTAGCTTTTTTCTGGAGCTATCGCCCTTTGATGAAGACTAAGATGCTGTTGAGAAAAAAGCTAGAAGTTTGACCTTTAGTTGATTGGCAATAAATGGAATTAGCTTTCACTCTCAGTGAACTTTTTTAGCTTGAAATATAAAGCTGGTATACAACCGTCTTGAATACAATAGCAATCTTCAGCAGTCTTCTACTCTTCTTCCCGTCTCTCGCATTTCGACAGACCTGCAATGTGTCAGAAATTTGATATTCCTCTTACCTTGCACACACTATGGAAATGTTTCTTTTTCGCTGATGCTAAGCACGATTATCCTTTATTTCTCTTCGTGGCTGCTGTCCCTTCCTGACTCAGTAGAGACCGTTGTTGTCAATATCAGTTTTTCCAACCATTTCTCTCTCCTGATGTTCCTAATGTGGGCCTCCCAATCCTATACAAAATGGTGGGTCTCATTCCAAAGACACCTACAACATAATTTCTGTCCTTGTATTTGAATCGCTCTAAAACTTTACATCAGGGGCTGGAGCCTCTCCTGGTTTGGACTGACTGAAAGGCAGGGTGACGAATTCTTGGACACTTTGTTTCACCCCCACACAGCACAAATGCATAAGGATGTGCACACCAAATTTACATTTCTATGAGTCCCACATTTTTCATTTCCTCTTGATTCTCTTTCACAAGAATCTGCGAGATTAGCTCTTGCATCCAATATTGTTCTAATAAATGTTGATTTCGTGAAAAATGTACTCAAAAAGAAAATGAACTTGGTCTCAAAGGAGACCTTGTGAATGAGTGAAATGTATTAACATTTTGTTGGGGTTCTGCGGAGCTGACATAAAATGTCCCCTTGGGTGTCGATGCCCTTGGGGTCCCTTATGTGCGCAGAAGCAGTCTGGCTCTGCTTATGAAATAAGAACAAATTTTATGTGCAGACATCCTGGAGCTCGGGACTGACATTAGTTTGCTAAACCAGTGAGCCACCACTGTAATCTAGCTCTAGTGTAGACCCATCTTTATCTGCAACTGTAAAGAAATACCAGGTTTAAACAGAATGAAGAGCAAAAAAATATAAAATAAACGTGTATTTAGAATGGAAATGACAACATTTGTATGAAGCTTTTAAGCTTCCAACTATTCGTTACAGCCCTAGAATTGTCTTCTGTTGATGAGTTTCTACTGTTTACTGATTAGATGGGCAATCCGCTTACTATTTGTCGCTGTCCATTTACAGGGTGCTGAATTAATGGTGCCGTCACATTTTGTGTAGGAAGGGAAGGGGCATGTATGGGATCCTCGGCCGTTGGACCCTCTGCCTCCGCCGTCTATTTAACTGAAGAGGAGCGCTGCTGCGTGTCCGTGTGTGTGTGTGTGTGTGTGTGTGTGTGTGTGTGAAACAAGTAGAGAGCATGCATGAGCCCGTCTCTGTCGACGTATCTTACTATCTGAATAATGTGCTCTTTAAATAGAAGGATAATACTGAGCCTTTGACATTAAATCAGGTTTTTGCTGGTCAATGGCGCAATCGCTTTCTGCTGCCTCAAGATAGCAATGCGCCCACAATGTGCCTGACCACAAACCATTTTAAGACCAACAGGGGGTTGTATTTAAAGTACATCGCACTTCTGTATTGAACAAAAGGCATTGATAAGATCTGTGACACTGTGCTGTGTAAGTGGCCTCAATCCATCTGAAACAAAACATATATTTGTTTGAAAGATAACATTAGGATAAATAAGGCTTTTAAGAGTCTTCTTGACAAAATTACTTTCTTTCATCCGCTCTGGGAAACAAATAAAAGGTTGAGGATGCTGAAGAGGGAGATAAATAAAGGGAGTGCTGAACAAATGGCAGATCTTGAAGCTCCCCTACTCCCTCTACCCCCCCCCCCCCCCCCCCCCACTCTCATTCCCTCCCTCTGCTGGAGTTTGTTTGATGAAGCCTCTCGCTGGGTTTGGGAAGCGGTGTCTTCTTGCCAGCTTCTCATATGAGCTTCATTAGTGTGATGAATAAATGTATCGCTTCATCCCTGGTGTACGCTGCACACGTTTGTTTGTGGGTTTAGGTTGGCACAGTGGTTTATTGTATTTGATTATTTAATTACTTCTGAACACGGTTTTATGAAACTACCGGAGACGGAGCTTTCAATTCTTTTCCACTGACTTTATTCGTTTTGTTGAGTTTCTTTGGACCTCAGTTCACAATTCACAGTAATAAAACCCAGGAGAGACACCAGAAGGAGGTTGGCAGGATGGCGGCGGTAGATGAGGCTGTAGTTAAATTTGAGTGCATGTGCGTACGCAAATTACATTGTGCACAGATGGACAGATTTATGACTTTGTGGTGCTGTGTATTGATTTCATGAGATTGTGTTTTCGCAGAAGCCATCAGCCATTAGAGCACTTGCATGGGGTGTCCAAACAAACATGCTTACAGACAGAGACAAAAAAAAACAATACAGTGTGTCTGTATCTATGTCTGTGAGTGTGCATGTGTTTGAATGTGTCTGCAGGAATGCCATGGATCCGTCAATCCAACTTCCACATAAGGTATCTGGAAGATGGATACACGGATGCATCAATAGAGAGGATAGTACAGTCTGATGTATTAATCAGTATGTGTGGCAGGGTGGAGCAGCGAAAAGGATTCCGCTGTGCTGAGCAGCTTCTCGTAGCGTCTCTGTCTCTGACCTCGGGCTCAGTCCTGCCATAACTCTCCTCATTACAGCCTTAATGGTACAATCAACACGGTCCTCTTCACAGCTTTGCAGGGCTGTAGTGCTCGCTCCTCTACTTCTCTGTAATACTTTCTCCTTAATTCTCATCCACACCACTCGTTTGTCCCCTATATTCTGTCTTTGTTCTTTCTCTTGTTCTGTTTAGCTGGCTTCCATCATTTTTCAGTGTAGGAAATTACCACTGTGTTCATCGGTGTGACCATAAACGGATTATATTCAGACACCAGTCTGAAAATATTTCCTCTGAATTTACCTCCATGTGCACACACGTGTTGTTACGCAAATCCACTCTCTCATAGTTGGATATTTTGAACGGTCTTTGCTTTGACGCTGCAGCCCCCAATCATTAAAACCGATCAAAACATACATCATAACAAGGACAAAAAGTGATTTTGTACCTGCAGTGTGAACACATGAGCTGATGAGTAGTGACAACTGATTATGAGACTACCGCAAATGACTTGTTATTATGAAGGATTTTTGTAAAAGGATATTTTCACTTTGTTGCACTTTTGTCTTTTTTTTTGTAAATTGCACTATAGTGAGACCACTGACTCCAAGGTCATTAACAGTGTGGTCTGATCGTGTTTGTGTATGTGCATGTAGGTGTTTGTATGTCTGTGTCTGTCTGTTATTTTGGGACAAATGGGCAGTGTGAAATGTGTGTGGAAGGTGAGGTAGAGAGGATCAATAACGGTGATGACAGTCGGGCCAACAACCGCATCGTTGTAATCACCCTGGACCTTAAGACTACATCAACTCACAGCCCTGCCACTCTTGTTTGCGTTACAGTCTGTGGATGTACATGCCGACGTTGGCGCATGTTTAAATGTATAGTATTCTTTATTCATCAAATCTCTCAGCTCAACAACAGACCTACCTTACAGTGTTCACACCAAGATTACAGGAAGAACGGTAGGAATCGGGGACAGATTGGCGCAATCTGAATGAACTGATTAGGTAAAGTATGTGGCAGTGTGTTTGAAACTCTGCCAGGTAAATTATAATCTGGCTGCAGGCTGGTGCCAGCAAAGGAAGGGTAAAAGGTGAGGAAGGCCATTGAAGCTACTTTCTAGATTAGAAATCAGGCGCAGTACACAGGAATATGTTCCAAAGTATAATTTGCAGGAAAGGGATAGCCCAAGCCCAAAAACTCAAAATCCTGCCCTGAAACCTCATTAATCCAGCGCAAGAGTTACAGTTTAAATGCAAATAAGAAGACTGCTCCCCCTTGCGTCTGTAAATCTAGGAGTGACCTTCAGAAACTGTCGTCGATGGAGGAGTGCACCTTCAAGTCTGAAATATGTGGCAACTGCTGGTGGTTATGTGTGACAAAAATAATGTCAAAGAACCACTTACTACTTTTATCGGAGAAGGGACCTGCAAGTTGATTTTATTCTGTCACACAAACTTTCACCTAAGGTCAAGAATGAACTGCTTTGCTCAAATGTTGGTGCTTAGTTTTGAACAACTTTTAATGCAGATGCTTTGCATTCGAAATGATCCTCCGACAAATCATGTTTTTTTTTTTTTTTTTTGTTTCCTCCAGGATCCCTGCAGGGAGAATATCAGAGGAGGTTGTACAAGGAGCTGCTGGCTAACTACAACCGACTGGAGAGACCTGTGGTCAATGACTCAGCCGCCATTCTAGTGGAGCTGGGGCTCACACTGCTGCAGATCATAGACGTGGTGAGGGAGACACATTCACTTTCTACTCTGTGTGTGTGTGTGTGTGTGTGTGTGTGTGGCATGGTGTTTCATTTGGGCAGTGTACAATGTAGGAAGTGTGACAAGATATGAAGTTTGTGTTTTGTTGGGTGTACAGTGTGTAGTTTAATGGAAAGCTGAAGTGGAAGTGTACCGCTATCTGGTGACTTGCATCATTTACACTTATTAATTAGCTGTGCGTCACATTCTGAGAGACTTTACATCATCCCAATCATCGCAGTGAAGATTCCAAGGAAAAGTGAGAGAAAGTGTTTGAAAAGAAATACAGCATTTTAGTATTATCTTTGCAAAAAGAGAAGTAGCATGTTCCACATTGCTATATTAGTAGTGTGTTTCGGTCTGATGTGTGTATCAAGCTGCGGGTATCCTTAGTAACACATCCAGGATTGTGCTGATGGAACAGTGTTAAATGTTGGCAGAAGTAAATGCACTTCTGCTGTTTGACTTCTGTTACATGAAGACCCTCTGGACTGGGACAGATATTAATTCAGACCACACACAAACTGAATACGTTTATTCAATGTTCCTGAGTGTTCCCGGGTGAACTCTCCACCACTCTTTACCATTTACTGACATACGTATGGCTTGAGCCGATTTGAATAAAAGATTGTACATCATGATTGCATTTTCCTATGCTGAATTTTAAATCCAGGAATACAAACCAGTTTGCTGTCTCTTTTCCATGGATCTGATGCCCCCGCATATCCGTTCTGACAGATTGTAATTATCTTAATTCCTCTTATAACACAATCTTCCATTGTTTTTAATCTTTATTCATCGAGGCAAAGCTGGCTGAGCGTAGCTGTTTTTTGCTGCTCCGCTGAAGCAGTGTGTGGTTATTGCATCGTTCAGACCGCCAGTAACCCTGCATGAAATAACACATGGCTAGCAGCAGGGCCCGTCGATGCGGCGGGAGTGCCAACACATGGGACTCCTGCTCAACTTTTGCTGCAAGGCATCGTCATCCAGCAAGACACTGTGCCGGCCAATCAAACGCATGCAAGCACAGTTATTATCTGGTAGATCATTTTGTAGCGTGAATGCCATATGTGCTGTTTACCTCCCAATCCTAGTGATGAAAAGTAAACTAGTTGCCACCGTGACACCTCTCTTGAGTCGTAAAAGTCTGTGTGTATGTATGCAGTGTGTTGGCGTCTAATAAGCCTTTTAAAAGCATTAATGTGTTGCTCAAACGGGACTTCCTGCTCCCTTAAACAACACTCCCCGGTGCTTTTTTCTGTCTGGATGCCCGCTTTTCTGTCTGAAGTGTTTAGAGCCTAAAGATTAGTTGCAGAGAGAGGCATTAGCGCTGCTTATCTACTCTCCACTCCATATCTCCTCATGTTGTCTAGGCTGTAGATAAGAAGCGTCAAATTATCCCTACGGGCTATTTTCCCATGTGTGTTTTGTGTCTACCTGAGTTTGACACTCCGACACATTCCCAATGCATGAAAATTACCATTCCTTCCTCCCTTCAGCCTGTGCCCCAGAAATCAATCCAGGTCTACTATCTTTAATGACTTTTCAAATCGTTAAACTTCTGCTCATAATAGCAGGAGGCCTTCAGATGAATTCTCGAGTCATTAACCATCAGGGAGGACCAAAAACTTGCAACTCACTTTGCAGGCTGCATGTACATTTTTCATTTAGCCTTTCCACAGACAGGAGACACTTTGGGGAAGGGTTATCATGTTAAATGTCATTTGTGAGTGTAATTGTGTTTTAATCAGATTCTCTAGAGCGTCTAATGGAGACAAATCAAGTAACCTAATTTACAAACTGTAGTTACGTGGCCATTGTATTGTTAAGAGGGGGATGGGGCAGAAGCCATTGGCATGTCCTCGGAGTGGTGGGAAAAATATGGTATTGAGTAAAATAACAGAACTTTACTGTTTTCACTGACACTTTTAGCAAGGCACTGATGCTTAGCCAGCAGCTTAGATGCGTAGATAGGGTAAACTAAATATCTGGAACACAGCAATGATGCTCATTCAACCTTTCCAGAGGGACTGAGACACCTTTCTATGTCCACATAAAACACCTTTCAGCCCATCTCTTAGCAAATAGCTTGTATTCTTCCCTGTAGCCTCCAGACAAGCTGCTAATTTGATAAATATTTGTGTCGATCTGAGAAAAGCTTGTCTCGGTATGGGGGATTGCTTCAATCATGTGGCACTAACTGATGTGCTGAGACCCAGAGGTGTGCTAGTGCACTTTAACGTGCACTTTATCGGGAACACCGATGTTCATTCAACTCATTAATTCATCGGCTATAAAGTAACCAATGTTGACTGACTGGTCCGTGTGTTTCTAGGTCAGGTTCCAGGTGTTTCTACATACGTTTGCCCATACGGAGAATCGTATGACACATACAAATACATTCATGTTGAAGCACAAGGTAAACGTCAAGAACGATGTATTGATGAAAAGACATCAGTGATAATGTGGAGAGGTTATAGAATCAAAAAATACCTTCACCCGCATCTATAGATAACAAGTAAACCGAATATGCTCAATTACAAACACACACACACACACACACACACACACACACACACACACAAACCGCTATGGAATTTGAAATCTCTGAAGAGAGACACATTTCCAATTATTACTTTCAGCTGTGGCTTTTGCTCGATCATCTGAGTCATCTGCTTTCATAAAAGACTTCATAGAAGGGTTTGCCATATGTGCCCACACTGTCAACTCCAACCTTAGAAATAGGAAAAATAGAGGGAGAACTACAAATGAATAAACGGATGCATTGTGTTAAAAAATGGAGAATTGTCTGATCCCTTTCAGCATTCCTTTCTGCCATGCAGGCATTCCTGTCCTGACTTTTCCTCTCTGTACATGAAGCTGAAATTCTAAGGCTTGCAGAAATGCAATTTCACGTTGCAGCTAGAATATTAGCAACACAATTTCCCAAATGCTGTAAGTACACTTTGAAAACATTTCTGAAGTTATTGGAAAAAGACAAAGGGTTCAACCTGCATTCTTCCCACCTTTTATTTTTCACCTATATTGTCTTTATTTAGGATTTAAGGATTTAAAAGCAGAAATGAACTTTAATACTTATTGTTAATGATAACATTTGATAATAGTAATATTTTGTTTTTAACCAGGATATTGTCTCACTGAGATTATTAATTGATTCATTTTACGGTAATGTCCTGACCAAACAATCAGCAGCATATAAAACATACAACATAGTAGTTACAAATATTCAGACTTAAAATATAAAGAAAATAGTTGCTTTTACATTTATTAATCCCTGTTTTTTTTTTTTGCCATTGTTCCTCTTTATGGATGATACTTTTTAATCACTAGCGTGTTTGCAATGGTGTTTTTAAGATAATACATAACCAGACAATAACCCCTTAACTCACCACAGAGCACTGTTAAGTGTTTCCACCTTAATTAAATAAACAAACAGGATTTTTTTCTGTGAACATGATTAGAATTTCTTTTACTATTGGAGCCAGCCTGGCATTTTACAGTCCATCCCCATTATTTGAATCCATTCAGACCTACTGTACTTTAGTTTTAAAAGGGTTGAGTAATTGACAGATGACGCAGTGAAACTATTCAACAGAACTAAACTTGCTTACATAAGAACAGCTTTTACACAATTTTACATAGACTGGTTTGTTCTTATTTGGAGATGCAGAGCAACTGCACTGATAACAAAGCCCCTTTCCACTATATTAAATATGGATTGGCCTAGTTTTCTTTTTTTTTTACAAACGAAAAATAAATATTCTCTCTTCTTTTTTTCTGTTTCTGTTCTCAGGATGAAAAGAACCAAGTGCTGATGACCAACGCCTGGCTGCAGCTGGTGAGTCAAAGTTTAAGAAGGGCACGTCACCATCAATTTAATGTGCTTTAATTCGATTTCTGATTATAGTACACTATTACTCTGTTTTTCAGATTACTAGTGCCACTACATTCACTGCTTGATGATGATATAACATTTTAACCATGCATGTCTAGAGATACAATTAATTTCCTGGATTGAGTCTTTGAACTTGCCCACAGTCTAAAAGCATGATTTATAATGCAATATTCACTTTCTACCCAGTATTAGTAGGCACTAGCTTATCCATCCAAGTATGTTTTAGTTATCTGCAATTATATTCAGCACTCACATTTTCATACAACACTCAATGCTGGAACTCAGCCATCAGTTGTTGGTGTGTGCGTGTGTGTGTGTGTGTCTGTGTGTGTCCATGTTCAATGCTGGCACCAGCATACTCAAGACAACGTCAGATTGTCGAGCACAAAATGAGAAAAGAAGAGGAAGAGCGCAGCATATTTAAGTGGCAGTCAACTTGATAGTTACTGGACTTAATGCCAACAGGCTAAACATTCCGCTGACAGTTTCACAGCCTCAAGCCAAATTAGTCTGTGCAACAGTTTCAAGTAGGACACGGTTTGCTTGGTTCCCACTTGTTAAGTGCAGCAGAAATCTCGACTTGATGTTCGGGGAGACGGGGTGGCCCGGAATAAATAACAAGATTTCAAAAAGCAGAGAGCAGAACCATCCCTACTTTGTTCTCCAACAGTGTTGCATTTTTCAGTGCATTTTGTAGACTAATAATCTAGCTCGTTGGCTGTGAATGGTAATAGACTGTTACATTATTTAAGCCTTTAGGTATGCCTGCAGGAATAACCTGTTTCCATTCCTTGATAACTTCTGTTTTTAATTGGGGAGACTAAGACTGCAAGAATCATTCTACCCCTTGAGTTTAATTTCGCTTCTTGGCAAGATACAGCTCTTATTTCTATTGAATGTACAACTTTCTTGTAAAATTTCAATAAGATTAGTTCAACTAACCATTGGACATAATGTTTTTTTTTGCAGAGTATGAGAGTTATTGCACCCATTTCAAGAAAATGTAAGGTTGAGTGAAAATGTCTCTGTCTCTCTGTCTCAGTACTGGACAGACATCTACCTGAGCTGGAATCAAGAAAACTACCCCGGTGTCCAGAACCTGCGATTCCCTTCAGACCAGATATGGACCCCTGACATCCTCCTTTACAACAGGTCAGAGCTGCTTTCTCCTGCTCATCACCACCTTCCTTAAAGCAGCAATATATTCATAATACCAATCAATCAAATGACAATGTTACAATGAAAGGGGTAGCTTTAAATGATGGACCTACAGAAAACTATCACCTGAATGTGCAGCTTCAATCGGCTTTATGGAGCTTTATTGTGAGTTTCAGCTCATTGTTTAGCTATCTGGCAGCAGCTTTACTGTTTTCCTTACTTCACACCACTCTCATAGTGTTTTCAGCTTTTTGTTAAAAAACTCTGTATACTGCCTGCTAAACAACAAACAGAAGTCACACACAGTTATTAACTAGCTGGTAAACATAGTAGAGCATTTAGCAGCTAAGTATGTCCCGCAGGAGTTGGTAGAGACCAAAAACAGAGTGAATATGGGTGTTACATTCAGCAGGGGAATAAAACATGACTCTAAATTAATGTTAAGGTCTGCAACTGTTTGTCAACAAGTTCATCATATGAACTTAAAAGGGGAGAATATGTTTCCATGAAGAAAATTTAATTTCCACTGCCCCCAGGTGGCCAAAAGGAATCTGTTATTGCTGGTTGTTATGACAAGTTGAAAAAGTATTTATTTATTTTTTTTCTCGTTGTCAAATTTAAAATAGGTGTTGTAATCCACCAGTCAGTGCCGCAGATAAATACACCTGTCAGAGATGGCATGTTTTCTCTCTATTTTTATTTGTGGGTAAGTGTGTTTGAGTGATTGAAATATTAATTTAATCCTTAGCGCTGCAATTTTATTGAAATCTGTCTTTAATCTCCACAAACTAAAGCCGTATCAGGGTTACTTTAAGCCAATGTGATGAACAATCAAACACAACACTCAGGGACACAGGCAACAGAGAAAAATGATAAATCTAAAATCTACTTAATTCTTATTACTATGATGAAAACGTTCTCCAACACTGCAAAAACCGCAAAATCCTACCAAGTTGTATATTTGTCTATTTAGTAGTCAAGATATCTCATAAGACTTGATAAAAGACTCAATCAACAAGTAACATTTCAGTGAGATATAGGGACTTGTTTTTAGACAATGCACAACACAACACTTCCAAATACTGGTAAGACATTCCTCAAAATGAGTTTTTTTAAATATATTTTTATCTTGAAAGGCCTAAATATTAAACTGCAAATGTCGCCGCTGTGGGACTAATGAAGGATTATTTTGTTTTATCTTACATCTTATTTCAAGAAGTCTTATATATTCTCACCATTGTATTTATTTTTGTTTAACTTATTTTAGATTTTTCCCAATGAATAGCTTTTCTTTAACACAGAAAGAAGGTGTATTAAAAATCAACCGTTTTGACAATTTATTTGCTTTATTGAAAATATAACTTTTTGGAAGTGATGTTTCACTCCTTCCATCATCTCCCATCGACAGAACAACTGTCTGTCTTCCTACCATACGATGCAGTGTAGTGTAGTGGCTGACAAAGTCTGTCGATCTCATTCATGATTGATTTGGACTTCCTTGTTAACAATTATGATACTAATGTCATGAAATGAACGCTGGTAAAGAGCTATTGCTGTCAAAATGCTGCTTTACATTGAGACGTACAGTATATTGTTTTTTTTTTTTAAGATTTAAGGCAACATACAGGCTTAGGGCAAAGACCACATATTAATTAAAGTTGAGCGAGCTCATTGCATTTTTTGATTCATCCACTGTTCTTCACGCTTCTTTGTGAGGCTCCCCAAGTCAATTAAAATGTAGGCCAGTTGTTTTTCTCCAAAACAACTAATTGCATTGCGTTTGCATGCTTGAGTGAGAGACGGATGATCGAGTCTGAGAGTCGGGGGGGAAGTGATGCTGGGGTTCAATCGCACAGAGGGATTTAATTACACAGATAAAATGTGTGGAGAAGCTGGTGAAACAGAAAACTTGACAGATTTGAACACATGAAGTGAGGTTGAGAGCTTTGCAGTTGGTCTTCATTGATGTTACTTAGTGCATGGAGAGAAGAGCCTCAGATGCTTTTCCTCATTACCATATCTCCCCCAGTACACACACTCAAACACACACACATGCACATGACAGGGAATACAAGGACAAAACAAAGGTTTGGGGGCATTAACCCAAATTTTAAAAGCTCAGCTTTCAGACCTGCCAGGATTACCCATCCTAATCTCTCTGCCTTTTACCCTCTGCCTTTTACCCTCTGCCTCTACTCCTCCCTCTCTACCTCCATCATGCATCCCGTCTTACCATCTCTCTTCTCATCTCATTTTTTGAGTCTCCCGCCGTCTCTCTTTCATAACTCACTGTCTCACTATAATTCACTCTATTCAATCAACTCTTTCTCTCCATGTTTTTTTTTCATTGTTCCCAGTCTTCACCGACTCCCCCTTTATAAATCACCCCAGCTACCTCTCTCTGTCTGTCAAGTTGTCAGCATGTTACTCTGACACCTGCCTTCCCGTATGCTGCTTGTTACTCTGCTATATCACACAGGAAAACAGCAGCCCTGTTTTCTGTACTGTGCTGCTTGGTTTGATGTACATAGCAAAGGACTTTGACATTGACGACTGGAGTTTATGTCCTGTGTCCCACATGTTGTTAGGTTTGGGCTTTGAAAGCATTTGGTTAAGACAGGAAAAGTTGATTATTTTGGTTAAATACTAAACAGAACTGCCGTGCTAGCGGCTCTGTGGGGCTGTACTTCCCGTATTGAATGTCAGTATGCTAAACCTCTGACAATGAAGATGCTAACATGCCTTTATTTAATCTAAAATATTTGCTATTTGGCACTTAACACAATGTACAGATGAAGCTGGTGTAAATGTAATTCTCCAGTAAATCTTTGATCAAAGGATGGGTCTAGCTGAGTAAGGGGGTCAACCGAGTTACAGATCATCCTCAGGGGAAATGTGAATGTCTGTACATCATGTGCCAATCCATTGAGCCGATTTTGAGATATTTCCCTGGATAAACGAACTCTTTGATCTGCTTCTGGTGCAAGAGGAAAAGTCGGGGGGAAGTCATTTGGATTTGTCCTCTGAACTAAATGACATGACAATCCCTAGAAACTCAGCATATCACAGTTTACAGATTATGTCCACGTTTCCTCAGTGTATATAATGTGATCAGCATTCTGTTTCCTATTTGTTAATGCAAATTAGTTGTATATAAATGCAATTTTTAGAAGAGAGGATTGAAAACAGAAATGTATTCATTGTAACTTGTTGAGAACAGCCATACATGTATGTCTCAGTTTGGGCAATTGAGAAAAAAAGTTTTTCAGTAAAAGACTATTGCCTACCTCTTTGATGTTAGAAATGATAAACATTGAAGTGAAGCTGAAGGAGAAGATTCAGTTTATTCAGTTTACAGCCAAGCTTATAAGCCTTAGGAAAGATGAATATTTACAGTTTTCAGCAATAATATGGATCACTGCTGAGAACACACACAAACACACACTTAACTAATTACACCACACACATCTAAGCTCTCATGTCACAAATACACATTCAGTATCTGTGCACTCACATGCACACAAGTTGCAAACAGACGCACGTCCACATACATACACGCTGTCACACAATTACAGACCGCAGTGGCACAACATGCATCATTACACCACGGGCCATCAGTGCGCAGCCAATAACACGCTAGTCTTACTGTGTTGAATAGCAGATGCCTTTAGGTTTATTAGCATGCAGCACAGACGAGACCTGGTCATAAATCCCTCCATTAATTTATATTGTTTCAATACGAAGTTAATGATGTTCAAGAGTGCTGAGGTCAGATGTCATAATGCGTTCAGAGAAAAGAGGAGTGGGATGAAAATCTGATGTTGACTTTGATGAGTCATTCGGCTCATATTATAAGTGTGTAATCTCTCAAAGAGTTTAAAACACTGTACGTCCAATGGATTTCAACGTGACTCACACTAAGTAACATAAACACTAAACCTTCTAAAAATCAATGGAAGATTTTGGCATATTTATAGAGGTATTGAATATTATAATATTCACGAGAAGGTTATGACAAAGGACAAATGAATGTGGCCTCTACTGAGACAGAGGTGCATGTTTGCTATGAAGCTCATCCACTTCACTGATGAGAACCTCCGGCTGACTCCAGCTCGTCTGCCATTTGTGTGTGTGTCAGGCGAGCAAGAATTGCCGTGTGTGTGCGCGATTATGTTTGTATAAGAATGTCCAGCTATGTAAGCCGTTGACCTCCTCTCTCATTAGAGGGGAAAGTCAATGGTCTCACTTGACTGGGGATCGATGAGACGCATGAAGGACGTCCAGCTCAGGTAAACCACGGACAGAATCATGATTTTGCAGGAAGGGACAGTAGCTGTACAAGAGAGACGGAGCATTGTGACAGGCCGTAATGATGAAAGGGGAATTAATTGAATAAATGGATAGTCAGAGGGATTTTTTGGTTGGATGGATGGACAGACGGACTGATTTGATGACTCTTCTGTGATCCATTAAATGAATAAATACTCGGGAAATAAAATACAATATACACATGCATGTTTTCAAAGTGCATTTTGTGCACCATGTGTGCAAGGTGAGCATCCAGAAGCCTCGGAGACAATTGACTGCCTGATGACACAAAGTATTTACCTTTACAACAATTATGTCACATACCATAATCCCAACATAATGATGCCAAACCTTCTGCTTCCTCTTGAAGATGACAATGGAGATGTTCATAGGCAATCCATTCGTCATGGGTGACGTACTTTATGGGAACTCTGCCTCTATAGGAGTAAACATCCCACTGTAAATCTGAAACATTGTGTTCTTCTTGCATCTTTCTTGGCCAGCTAGTTAACCACAGAGCCTTACGGCTGTCAAACTGACTGCCTGTGTCAGGACCCCCTGAGGCTGTTAGTTGAATGCTATGTTCCTGGGATATAACACAATGTACATGGATGGATAGGTCTCTGCTGGCCTGAGTTGGTGCTGATCGTGGGTAGCTCTCAACTGTGCTAACATCTTCAGGGAAGGTGTTTGCTTTCTCTTATGGAGCAGTACAGTCGTTAGCTCTTTATTTCTTATCTTTCTGATTTGAAAAGTGTAGGAAAAAAATGTTTGCAAAGAAAAATGTCAATAGTGTTCTGTAGTACTCCCTGTTGCGCTTTCCTCCCCTGCAATCAACAAAAAACACGTAAGTCAAATCATGACTTGAAAATGTACATAATATTGTTATATTACATATTAATTGTTAGTCTGGCAGCGAGATCTCGCTTTAAAGATCGGTGCAATTTTCATATTTTAACAGTTTGTGGTTTTTTTCCTCAAACACTCTTGACTTTGTGGCTTCCTTCTTTTTGTCGTGTGTGTGTGTGTGTGTGTGTGTGTGTCCCTGTGTGAGGACAGCAGCTGGTGTTTAGTGAGTGAGAAGAAAGCTTTGGTGACTCATGTCCCATGATGAAGGAACCTGTCACTGCCACTATTGTCAATGTCGGTCAGTTTCCACCTCGCCCCACTCTCACATGTCCACAGTACTCTTTCTCTGTGTGTGGGTGTGTGTGTTGTACACGACCACTTCCCGTTCTCCCGGGGCTATCACTTGCCCAGCAGTATGTATATTTAACGGTTAAAATGTGAACATTGTAAAAAGTATTTTGTTTTAAAAAATGTTTGTTTTACAACAATTAATATTTTTGTTTTCAAAGAATGTTTCTAATTGGATGAGAAATTTTGTTTTCAGTACGTTTCCATCTTGAAGCAAGCTACAGTAAAGTGGAATTAATGTAAATCTAATGTAAAATCTAATTCATACTATAAATATCTTGTATTGTTCTGTACAGCTTGTACAATATCTGTCCTCTCCAACACACACACACACACACACACACAGTCCAGGACATGCTAAATGTATGTAAGCACTGGAGGAAAAGCGCACACCTTCAGATGAAGTCAGGCCAAAGCTTGAATAATTCATCGCATAGCTCCGCCTTGGCCAACCCACACATCCCCCCCTCAGCACCAAGAGCCACAGCTGATAGCAACACACACAGAAGAGAAATAAATTACCACACTTAACCCCCCGCAAAACGGTAAATCACTCAATCTTTAGCAAAGGCAGTGTCAAGTAAAATGTGTCCATCTACAAATTCTGTTAAGATGCACGCCACGTTCTTTTGTCAGGGCTGAAAGAGTTTCCAGGATGTTTTAGACACACTGGCGTTCTCTCTCTCGCTGGGGATTGCATTGTGGGTGTGTTGATTTGTGTGTGTGTGCATGTATAGGTGTATCGTGCGTGTCCCCATGTTGTATATCTATGAGTTGAGTTCTGAATTGGTGTGGATTGTAAAGTGACAAGGATTTCAATAGGCTTTTATGTGGCCTACGATGACAAACGCAGGACGTACTGTGTACGTTAGGGGCATTTTATGTAAGGAATACAAACTCTGCACTGCTTTACAGTAACATTTGCTATTCTTTCCAACTGCTGAAAATATATGTACTATAACAAAACAGTAGCAATGAAGAGGAAGGGAGATACTTCCTTCCAGCTAGTTGCTACAATGGAGAATCAATTTGTATGAAAAGGATTTTGGAAAACAAAACAGAAGACACTGCCCAAGCTCAGACTTTGCCTCTGGCACTTTATTCAAGAGAGTTCAAACTCTCACCGACACCAGAGGAGCTACTTTTTAATTCTTAATTAGAGTTCAACTGGAGTGCCAGAGCTGAAGTGGGTCTAAGTGTAGGTCTTCAGGTATTCTCTTTACTGTAAGTATCTGTTCCCAAAGGTTTCGTTTGCTACTCCTGAGACTTTCAGAGAATACAGATCTACCTTATTCAATGGCTTCATTGATTTTTGGTGCTGTTTGAAAGTGAGTGAAGCCAAGTCCATCTCAAACTTTAAATATTGTAAACTTTACTTATACACAACCTGCCATTATATCATGTAAGCAGGTTGTGAGTTGCAGAGCGTTGAAGGAGGCATCCGTGGTGTTTACCACATGCTTCCGATTTAGTTTCTGTTACCGCATATTTGGCTTAGCAGTAGAAGTGCATATTTAATTTCACTGTACCCTGGATATTACCTGGGGTTTTAATGGTGTGTATGTGGGGTGAAGGACTGCAGCAGCAGGTTGGTTCTTTCACAGATGGCTGGTAGATGTATCACTTCGCTGCTCCCTGCTGTGGCAGGTTAGGCTGAAACAGCAAAGAGAGTGACACACTTAAACAGGCGCACAAAAACATACAAACACAAAAATGGCCATAAAGTGGCAAAACAGACAAATAGTTACTGTTTTTAAATGAATGTTGTATCCCTCACAATACTTTTTTTATTCCGTAATTTGTCTTAACCAAATGTGCACGCTCTCTTATTTTATTATGAGTCTTCCTCTATGATAGTACACATTGATAAAACAAAGTAATTGCCAGCTTGATGTCAAAAACAATTTAAAAAGGCAATAAAGAGATTTCAGCAAGATGGATCTTTAGCTCACAGCAAGGCGATGAAACATGTTGAAGGTGCGAACACACATTACTCTCTCTTATTCTCTCCCCAGTGCGGACGAGCGGTTTGACGCCACCTTCCACACCAATGTCCTGGTGAATGCATCAGGTTACTGCCAGTACATCCCCCCTGGCATCTTGAAGAGCACCTGCTACATTGACGTGCGTTGGTTCCCCTTCGACGTGCAAAAGTGTGACTTGAAGTTTGGCTCCTGGACGCACAACGGCTGGCTGCTGGACCTCCAGATGCTGGATGTGGACACGTCCACCTACATACCCAACGGGGAGTGGGACCTTGTGGGTAAGTACAGCTATCTATCCTGATGGCTGGACTTGATGTGTAATATGAATTATATATATATTATATATATATATATATATCAACTTAAAGTAGCAAGTAGCAGCACATGCCCCGGGGTGGTTGGTTAGCTGAAAATGGGTGTCAGACAGCACCAGATGGCATGCAACAGGAATGTTTGACATGTTGGCAGGTGTGTAGCCAGGCCATATGTGAGAGCAGCACACCACATCCCTAGAGTTAGAGTCCAAGGTGAGATAGATCAACGATCAAAAATCTGATCTGACTTTTGGTCTTCTTTTTTTCTTAGCTTGCTTAAAATTCCAGCTAACAATACAAAGAGAAGATAAAGGCACAGCGAAGTTCCAAGCCTGGTCCGAGTGGCGCATCCCATAAAATATTTACTCTCACTAGTTTTCTGGTCTACACACATTATAGAAGCTATTAAGTCTTGAATGGCTTTATTAGTCCACAAAATCTACCTGACCTGTGTGTGTTGTGCTTCTCTCTTAGGTGTGCCAGCCAAGCGCAATGAGCTGTACTATGACTGCTGCAAGGAGCCCTACCCTGATGTGACATTCACGGTCACCATGCGCCGCAGGACGCTATATTATGGCCTCAATTTGCTCATCCCATGCGTGCTGATCTCTGGTTTGGCCCTGCTGGTCTTCCTGCTTCCGGCAGACTCTGGAGAAAAGATTTCTCTGGGTGAGGGAGGCTTAAACATACACAAACACACATGTTATTAATGAAAGGATTTTGCTTTGCAAAACATTTGGAAACTATAATATTAATCCATGGAAGAAATGTAGAAAGAAGGTGAAGATGTTCGTAAAGTTTTTAAGTACCAGGCATTTGGCAAGTAAAAGAAACTTGGAGTAATGTGGTTTTCAAACACCAACAGCAACATACAAAATTTAAATTTACTTTACTCAATAGTATAGAAATACAGTCACAACATAAACATATTAAAGCACACTCACAAACTTGTGCATGCATATTTGTCTTCATGAATCATATAGCGAGCCGTGAATACATGCATGTCAAATCACCTTGGAGTAATTGAATTTCAAAATAAGAGGCTTGCCATTAAATCTATTTTGCAAGTCTAAGGGTGCCAGTGAGTTTTGATGAATAGCCGTCTCAATGCGCAGTCACCAGGTACGAAGTCAAACTGTTTTTGAGGGATTTCTGGAGCTGTAACCTACCTTGGACAGAGATTCCAGCAGCTGATAAATGGTTGTAGTCATGAGAACGGAACTGATTCCATACATAAGTAATTACAGGAATGATTTCATACACCAGTGACCCTGATCACATCCTTATGTATTTGCTCATGTTCCCTGTCTCTGTCTCTCTCTCTCTCTCAATATCTCAAGGAATCACTGTGCTCCTTTCACTAACTGTCTTCATGCTGCTGGTAGCAGAGATCATGCCTGCCACGTCCGACTCTGTTCCTCTCATCGGTGGGTTATATTAATGTGTGTTTGTGTCTACATGTAACATGCTTAAGCTTGCATGAATTTAGAATCACCTCCTGGTGATTCCTTCCTCGGGGAAGTGACACCGGCACGCTTAAGAAGTTATCGTCGCAGATAACTGAAAAAATGATATATGAAAACCCATCTTTGTGTCTCACTGAGCTTTGATTTGAGGAGCCTGAGGGCATCTACACATCATTCAGAGCACCCCTGGATGGTGTTGAGTAAATTGGGTGGCCAGAACTAAAGCTGTCAGGACCATTAATAGGTTTAATATGTTTGATTCTCCACTGGGGAAGCATGAAGGAAAGGAGGATAGGAGAATAAATAATGTATGGAGAGAGAGGAGAGCATTTGGGGCCAAAGATTTCAGAAAGAAGGCCTCAAAGACTTTGTGAGGCAAGTGAAGAGGCAGACATGTTAGTTTGGTTAACGCTCCTAATTCAGCTGAGAAATCATCAGGCCAAAAATAAATGTGTTTTTTCTCGTGTGTGTGCGAGACAATGTTTTAACATGCTTTGAGTTACAACGGCAGTCCTGTATGTAATGTTTCATATCAGTTTCACTTGGTCAAAGGGAAATCTATTGTACGTGTACATTATATGAGTGTATTGATGCGAGTGTGGTTTGGTCATGCTGCACATGGTCACCACTACATCAATGCAATGATAACTGGCCTCACTGAGAAAAGTTTGACAAAAGCTTCATCAACAGAGTGATTCATCTGTGTTTTTGTTTCCCTTGACCTCAACACAAGGCCACCTGGGACACTTTTAGTAGCCCTGTTAAAATGACTAATGTCTCTTTACAGCACAGTGGCTGAATGTGGATGTGAGTTATTGTAGCTGCTTGAGCTTGACCATAAATATATAAAGCAAGGGTTCAACAGTGCTTCCAGAATCAGGCCATATGTCTTTTATCATCAGCCCTTAATCACCAGATAAGCAGTGTGTGTCCATTTCATTTTAGTTAATTTAGTTAGACCTGTTTTATCTGTTTCAAGACCATTCAGCTCAGTATATATTGGTTTTGTTCAGTATTAATTCAATTTAAATTTAGTTATAATCAACAATGTGGTTTTTGACCCAAGGTCTCATAATTATGTTTTAAATTATTGTACATCCTATCTGCAGGCAGTCTTCCTCTGACTCTTTTTCCATAAAGTAAACCCAAAGTGATTAGTGATTGACCATGAAGCAGTCAGGACGAAGCAAATTCCTTCCACCTTACTTTCCGTGATCCAAATAAATATGGTTGCAGCGCCTTGGTTGCCGAATGGTTACAGCGCATGCTTATGCTGTCATCTGCCCAATAAAGGCAAAATGAAAAAACAATCAAACAACCAATTTATGACGTATCCCCAGACCTCATGAGGTCACATGAAGTTTGACTTGTCGCTGTATTTAGCTGTTGGCTCTTCTTTGTTCACAGTCACTAGCAAACAAGACATAGGAGGGTATGCCCTCAGATGTGTGTGTCCGTGTGTTTGTGTGTACATGTTAGGAAAGAGCTCCCTGCTGCGGGTGAAGACATCCCTCCAGAACCAGAACCTCTCTCGCTCTCTCTCTCTACTTGGTTTACCCCTATTCTCTGTTTTGTCACAATTTTTGCATGTTCCTATTTCAGTGCAAGTGTGCATCTTCCCCCATGGCAATGTAACTTCTTGCCTAAATTGATCAGACTTGCTTTCCTTTCATGTTACAGTGTGAAATCAACCTATTTTTGGAATTAATTCAAGCTTAATGTTTTACCTGTTAGTACATGTTCATTAACTGTGACCATGGCTTAAAGGGAGGGGGCACGACCTTATTCGTATCTCTGAGCATAACTGAAAGGATTTTTCTTTTGTCTTCGGCAGCTCAGTACTTTGCCAGCACCATGATGATAGTAGGGATGTCGGTGGTGGTGACAGTTATAGTCCTGCAGTTTCACCATCATGACCCTCATGGAGGCAAGATGCCCAAGTGGGTGAGTGACTGAAACAGATTGAATCAGATAATCATCTCTATCGTCATTGATAACATTGAGCACAAATACCTATGTTTATACGAGAGTGATTTTTGTGTGTGTGTGTGTGTGTGTGTGTGTGTGTGTGTGTGTGTGTGTGT